GTCATGAGAGGCTGTCACAGGCAAAAATAAAGGCTTTCAAGACTGGTCAGAATAGGGCGCCTGGGTGGCTCAGTTGGTTAAGCGACTGCCTTCGGCTCAGGTCATGGTCCTGGAGTCCAGGGATCGAGTCCCGCATCGGGCTCCCTGCTCGGCGGGGAGCCTGCTTCTCCCTCTGACCCTATCCCCTCTCATGCTGTTTCTCTCTCTCTCTCTCTCAAATAAATAAATAAATAAAATCTTAAAAAAAAAAAAAAAGACTGGTCAGAATAGTTGATGTGACTAGGGTGTAAGAATCCACGGAGTCTTCAGGCCCTAGAGATAGTGGCTGAGGCCTGCTTCCCAGTGACCTGGTCCACTAGCTGATTTAGGATTACAAAATCTTACCCTAGGAATATGGTGGCTTCCACCTCAAGTAAGCCTTTTATATGGTGTGTGGTCAGAACATCTGAAAGGAGAGCTGGGAGTTCATCCAACTTACAGAAGAGGACAGCCCGTCTGTTTCTGTGCCGGCTCTGCTATTAAATGCGGGCTGATGTTTTCTGTGAACCACAGAATTCTAAACGTGCTCAGATCCAGCAGCAAGATTTAAAGGAGTAGCTCACACAGGAGATCAGTCCGACACCTCATCTACCAAATGCAACAGGCTTGGTGACCCTGAGACGCTCCCAGTTGGGAGAAGAAGGGCGCTTTCAGGAAATTGTTTCTGAACAATTCTCTCGCGGGGGAAATGTCTGTAAAAATCGCAAGTCGTAAACGATGCTTTGGCTTAGCCCAAAGCTCTGTACCTCCGGAGAGCTCAGAAACTAGCAATGATGAGAGAGGACAGCAGTGACGGTGGCTTTCTTGGAGACAGAGGAGCCCCGGACCACAGGCCACATCCAACTGTCTACATAGCAAACAAAGCAAAGACCAGGTCCCTGGTGCTTTGTAAAGGATCAACAAAGACCTCTTAGCCCGGAAGAGAAAAACTGTCGGGCTAGGCGTGAGGAGGGCGGCCCTTAGAGGGGTCTGTGCGCGCACTCATCGGTCTGTGCACCAGCTGTAGGCCACGGAGCCGGCTCGGGGACACGAAGTCATACTTAAGGGTTTCTTTTTGATTGGATGATTTCTTACCAGTCGCTGTACCGTTCAGCTGGCTTTGTAGACCCTGCGGGCTTGCAGGGAGCATCCTACTTTGTAAGTTGGGCAACCTGACTAGGGCGCAACCCACCTGATCCCAAGGGCCCCAGATGCCACGTGGATTTTAGCGTCCGGGCGCCGCGTCGCTGAGAGATGAACCGCCTTTCAAATTGAACGCTAACCACGTTGGGGGAGCGACAGCACACGCCTATGCCCGAGATGGGCCGTGGGGCTCCCTACATAAGGAACTCCCCGAGTTCCTCTATTTATTTGTAGAACATTATTGAAACAGAGACAGGTCGAAAAAGAGAAGGACCGGGAGGTAAGGAGTACTACTCAAAACCAACCAACCAAGCACGGCTGAAATGCTCCCGCGTGGTTGAAGCTGATGGGCACAAGAAATTAGGTTTTTACACAGTTCTGGAAAAACAAAGTCGCTTAACAGGACTTTGGAATACCGGGATGAGCTGATTCATCGGATAGGGCCATGTCTAAAGGCCCGAAGTCTGCAAACCGCGGCAACGCGGCTGCCTGCGCGCTCCAGGCTGGAGACGGGCCTCCGTCCCCGCGTCGTCCCCGCGTCGTCCCCGCGCCGGAGGGGGAGGCCCGCGGAGCTTTACGAAGAGCGCGGGAGAGCACGACCTCGGTGCCACAGCGCTGACACCGACGTCAGCACGGAACTCTGGGGAGTGTTCGTACCTGGCGTTTTACCTGTTACCGCACACGGAATAAAGTCTGCATGTGCCCCCCGAACGGTGCGAGCACAGAACTTAGAAACACACGGTATTTTATGCAAACATCGCTGTGGCTTTCCTCTACGAAACGGATGCACTTGTTGAAGAGCTTTCAGCGCCTCCTCCGCTGTTACACTTTTACACAGTCCGGTTTCGTAGGGCTGTCCTAGCCGCATTAGCCTCCAGTTACGGTAGACTTTCTCCTGAAGCTTCGCCAGTGGCAGGGACCCCATTCAGAAGAGCTTTTCCTCCAACCACCCACCTCCTTCCGCTACCCTTCCTCTCGATCACCTCCCTTTTATTTGCTTTCAATAGTGGGATGAATGTGTTACTTCTCTTACTGTAATAATGTGTCTGCTCTTCTAAGCTCCATTTCTTTGGGGCCATAGGGAGAAGGGCTTTCTTTTATATTACCTGAGTCCAATAAATGGAATTAGAATTGACTACTCCTTAGTAACAAACCTGGGCTCCAATTGTGTTTTTTTTTTTCTTTTTAAAGTAACAATACAATCTAAATATAAATCCACATATTTCACTGTAGCCAACCATAGAAATGGAATCTTATGACTGCAGCTGTAAAAGCACAGGTATTTTTACTTGTTCAAAATAGCTGAAATATTTTAGGAAACTACACGAATGAAAAACAA